AATTCTATTAGAAAAAGCATTGATACTCACTTAGTCCAAAAGTCCATTATAATACCAGTGCGGGAATAACGTCATCTTTTTAAACGTTTTATTGAGTCGATTATATTCAAGTCCGGAGAAAGTCGGGATACTTTTTAATAAAAATAAGATATTAAAACTTAAGAAAAAAATCAAGATAATACCATTGCGAGAATACACTTGTCTTCTGTTTTAAAGGATTGACTATACTCAAGTCAGTCAATGTTTAAAGAAAATGTTTAGATTTTTAAAAAGATTTTTAAAGGAGTTTATCTGGCGAGAGTCGGATACTTTCTAAAACAAATTAGGTTTTGAAACTTACAACAGCCGTAAGTCAGTTTTGTTCCCGTATCTGGTGAAAGTCAGAAACCTTCTAAAAAAAAAATACGGTCTTGAAACTTACAACAACTGAAAGTCGGTTTTGTTCTCATATCTAGTGAGAGTCGGATACCTTTTAAAAAAAATAAGGTTTTGAAACTTACAACAGCCGATAGTCGGTTGTAATACCATTAAAGGGTTTACCTTGTCATCTTAGCAATTTTATTGAGTCGACTATATTCAAGCCTGTTAATGTTTTAAAATATAAATTTTTAAAGGAGTTGACCTCGTGTCTTGAGAGCGTCGGATACTTTTTAATAAAAATAAATTATTAAAAGTTAGATAGAACAAAAATCAATATGATACTATTGCGGATACTATTGCCTTCTAAACAGTTTTAATGGATTGACTACACTCAAGTCTGTAAATGTTTAAAATACAAATTTTTAAAGGAGTTGACCTCGTGTTTTGAGAGTCAAATACTTTCTAATAAAAATAAGTTATTAAAACTTACGTTAGCCTAAACTCCATTGTGATAACATTGAAGGGTTTATCTCCCACTCTTAGCAGTTTTCTTGTGTTGACTATACCCAAGTCAGTCAATTTTTCAGAGTGTTCAGAGTTGACTTTGTGTTTGGGGAGAGTTGGACAGTGGGATAAAAACTATTAAAATTGTTTTTCAAAAGTTGTAAGAAGAATACAACATAATTTAAAAAGTATTATTTCTAAAAACTGGATATTTATTAAAATTTATAAATTAATCAACTTTTTGCTGTCGTTTTTTCTTGATTACAATTCGAACCCTACTAGAAGGGTCTTTTCGTGTGTCTTGAGACACGTCACATTCGACAAAAAAAATCAATGTTAAAATGGTATATTTTTTCATATTTTTTTTTTTTAATTTATTTATTAATTTAATATAAAAATAAAATAAATACTTACAAATAATAAAATAAAAATATTGTCTTATAAACGTATCCCAATAATAAGATCAGACTAGTCTAAATAAAACTTAACCAAATATGGTAACGAATTATTCAAAAATAGACCAATTAAAGAAAAAGATATATATTGGCACATATTTAAAAATATAACAGATAATTTAGACAAGAAGAAAACTCTACCATAGGTCTGTTTTTCGGACGAAGACGGTATGTGCATGCTTGAGAATAGTTGGGAAATATCCAAGGTTTTCTAATTAATGGAAAATAAAAGTTGGAAAATTTTGGTAAGATGACGAAAAGTCTAAAAAGTTAAAATTTTTTTGGACGATAATTGATGATTATCGTTATTTTTATTAAATATATTATAGACATTTATATATATATTAAAGACCTTCATATCTATATTATAGACATGTATATGAAAATTATAGACATTCTTATCTATATTATAGACATTCATATCTATAATATATATCATATCTATAATATATATCATATCTATAATATATATCATATCTATAATATATATCATATCTATAATATATATCATATCTATAATATATATCATATCTATAATATATATCATATCTATAATATATATCATATCTATAATATATACATTCATATCTCTATTATAGATATTTGTATCTATATTATCGTCATTCATATCTATATTACAGACATTCATATCTATATTATATACATTCATATCAATACTATAGATATTCATATCTGTATTAAAGACATACATATTTATAGTAAAGACATTCATATCTATATTATAGACATGTATAGGAAAATTGTAGATATTCATATCTATATTATAGATATCAGTTAGTTTCTTCCATTTTTTTTTAGTTTAATTAAATTCCTGTGATTATCCATAGTTTTCAAAATCTATTGTTTATTATAGATAGTCACCATTAATCCATACCTAAGCATTTTGATAGATAATTATATAAAGTAATGGAAATATACGTATGATATTAATAATCCCGACGAAAGTGAACAACATATTAGCAAACAAAAATTTATTTAATTTAGAATGTAAATTCTGACATATCCTAGTTTTGGAATTGCTCTGCCAGAACACATATGCAACGCAAACATAACCGAAATGAAGTAATCAAACATTAATTATGGCAACAAATTTGTTTAGTTTGTAATTGGATTTCGCTCTCAATCAGACAGTAAAATTACAGTCTTTTTAAGGTGTAATTTATATGCACTTTGTACTTAAAAAGCAGTTAAACCCATCAAAAAAAAGCACCGAAAATAGAATCCTCCTGAAATAAAAATCCAAAGTGCCTTAGTGTGTGGAGCGCTGGGGGCTTTTTTACTTCAGATTTCTTCCAGTAATGAGAGCTTCTAAATATTTACTTATTTCTCTATTTCTGTATTACAGGATTTTTCACTGTTTACATATCATTGGCCAGTTGAAATCTAATTGCTTTTTTTTGTTAATTGAATTTTAAAATGAGTACCTAATTACGTTTTTAAATGATATATTATCATTGCAAAAATAATATTTAAATTAAATTCTTTTTAAGTTAAATTAAAGTATAAGACATTATCCACAACTTCAAATGGAGACAGACAGACAGACAGACCAACATCTCTTGAAAAAGTGGGATGACAATAACATTAGCCACTAGTGATTTAGGTTCCATACTTAGCAACTTTTTCGCTATGGAACTTCTTATAAACGACATAATAGTGTTGTTTCGCTTCATGATGATCAATATTGTTTAATATTTGATACGGATCAACATATATTTTCTATTTGAGCTGTAAAAATATAAAGTAGTCTTCACTTTGATTCTGATAAATTATTCACACGGCACAAGTTATTTTTATCTTCGTTTATTTAGCTCATTTTCATCACAAATTCAAATTAAATCCGTTACCATATAAATCCAAAAAAAAAATGTGGGGTTGAAGAAGAATCCGATTCTATTTGAAAATCTGAAAGAGAGTAGAAGAACGTGGAAAAAAAAATGAAAAAAAAAACGAAAAGAGCAGAACAAGGATCCGCTTCAATATGAAAATCTAAAAGAAAGTAGAAGAGGGAAGAGATGGCAAGATTCGATTCAATACGAAAATCGAAAAGAAAGCAGAAGACGAAAGAGGTGCGAAAAATCGATTGAAAAGGAAAACCTGAAATAAAGTTAGAAGTGGCAAGAGACGGGTAAAGAAAATTGGAAAACAAAAGATTACAGAAGAAGGATTCAATTAATTAATAAAATCTGAAAGAAAGTAGAAGAGACGGGAAATAATGAAAAGAAAAAAAGAAAGATGGATAAGAACTCGATGCAAACTGAAAAAAAAGGAAGAGACGGGGGAAAGACTATAGGAAAAAGAATTAAAATTGGTGAAGAAGGAAGGATAGGAGAAGAAGAAAGGACAAGAGAAAAGGAAAAGATAGGAGAAAAAAAGAGAAACTCAGGTGAAACAAGGATGAGAAAAGACGGAAGTATAGGAAAAAAAAAGAATAATAAAAGATGGAATTAATGTAGAATAAGAAAGGATAAGTATAGAAAAATAAAAGTAAATAAAATAGAAAAAAATAAATGCAACAATTAATTAAATTAATATAAATAGAATTAAAATTAATATAAATAGGCACATTATTTCTGACCAAAAAGTATAAAATTATTTTGTTACTGAAACACAGCAGAGATAGTAATTTTAATAACTGAAGATCGTGTATTGAGTCCTAAATTGACACATAGTTTCTTCTTAAAATCATAATTCGTAGTTTAACTGTTCATCTCCTATTTGTGCTAATTTATATAGATTTTCAAAAAAAAAAAACAAAAATTATTTGGTAGAATACACTATATAAGAGCTAAATTTAAATAGAGGCACCTGGTGAGACATGCTGCGTCAGATTGAAATCCGGTAACGGGTTGTTATGACCAAATAAGTAAATAAGTTAAGTCTTGGAAATAAGAATAAAAAAAATAAAGGATCTGGTAGAATACACTATATCTAAGAGCCAAAATCAAATAGAGACGCCTGGTGAGACATGCAACGTCAGGCTGAAACCTGATAATGGATTGTTATGACCAAATAAGTAAATTCTTGGGAATAAGAATCTGAAGTCTTGCGCAGACAAAACCAAAAATTGTTAATTTAGTAATTTGATTGAACACATTTATCAATGTTAAACCTATATTTTCCATATATCAACTAGCATTCATACTAACTTACCCTTATTATAATTTCTTAGCAACTTTAGAGATTTATTCTCTTTGCAAATTAAAATGTTTTGTTTAATTGTTTACTCTTTTAATATTTTTTTTTTATCAGTTGGCACATACTTGAGCTGAGCACGTTAAATTTTTAGAATATAGTATATGAATATATATATGTATGTAAATGAAAGTATATATGAATGTATATGAACATAGTCCTAATTTTGTAATGTAATCACTTTTGTTAATATTTAGATAAAATATCAATTATGAAGCAGTTGACAAATGTTTATTATACATATTATTTTTGTTTTTATTACATATAGATTAATTACGTTCCATATGTTTTGATACTGACTTGTTAATATTGTTTTGTGTAATAACTTATATTTAATACAATTTTTATACATAAATTTATATGTAAAGATATTAATAAAAAATACAACTAAAACATATATATAAAAATACAAATTTGTATATAAATAATTAAAAGTCAATAAAAACGTAAATCAATTTCTCTAACTTATGCTTCTTACATTACATTTTTTTTATAAATTTTTTCATATATATATATATATATATATATAATGATCAAGTCAGAACCAGATAATTGAGTTTCCTACTACATATTTAGTGCTAATCAATGAACTTTTAAAAAAACAGTAAAACTATTTTGAAACCACCAAATCATATTCACCACCTAAATCTCTAACTCAGTCGGTTTTACAAGCTAAATAGCTCAACACTTTACCCTATGAAGAAAAATTATTAAGCAACTATATAGTTGCAGTAAAAAGTCAAGTCTTTTCATACGGGAAGAGTTGTTGACGACTTTATTGTTTTGAATTCTTCGATTCAGAATTCGTTTCGAAATTGTATATAAAATTCTAGTTGATTTGCAAGAACATAACCTTAACCTTCGCTAGTGTAAACACTTAACTTACATTTTTAGAGGAAAAAAACTGTGGTACTATTGAAATCTTAATTCCAAATAAGCATTGAGTACAAAATAATAACAAAATTACTCTGCACAATGATTGGGAGATGGAATTGTTTATCAATTTGTTTTTAAGATAATGTCACAATCTGCCATTTAAGAGATTCGAGTTATCTAAGAATTTTCTTCCTTATAAGATCAATGGTTATTCACTATTTTGCGAATGTTATTATTTAAAATCGTTATGTGTAAGTTGGATGGGTCTATGCAACAAAGACATTTTATCCAATTTTCTTGAAAGCTAAAGAACTGTTAATCTTGGAGACAATGATTAGTAGTTGGTATTGTTATACCGGTATATTACTGCATCATAGGTATGTAGTAGAAGGAATTTAGGACGTCCGCAAGGGAGATCCTTTATATCAGGTCTGTTGCGAGTATGCTGGATGTTGAGGATATCTCGAAAGAATTGCTTGGGTTACAATAAAATATTTGTAGTGTAACAACCTAAATGGGTATCTAAACTTGACAGCAACAAAGGTCATAACACATATTACAATAGTTGCACATAATAAATGTTTGTTTATTAAACTTGAAACGATGGATAAAATAGAGTTTTAGAAAAGAAAGATACATTCACAGGAAAATTAGAAATGGGAAAGGAATTAAGTAGCAGAAACTCTTTGTTTCTTTGTAGAAAAAACACATATATAAATGAAATCTCAACAAAAAGACGTTAGGTCATTTCTATAGACAAATGGCTATATGATGTAGACCTGGAAATCATGCAAAATATTAGCTTCTCATAATATTTCTGATGCCGCAACCTCAGAATTGACTTTAAATTACATAGATAAATTTTTTATTAATAATATTTGTTTAATAGTGTTAATCTAACTAAAATTCTTAAAGTAAGATTTAGTGAGATATATGAAGTATGTGTGAGAGAAAACAATTTGGTCATATAACATAGAGAAGACTTACAGATATTGAACTTATTTGAAAGCACATCGAAGAAATGCAAAAAAAAAAGATTGTATTAACACTCCAATATTTTGACAGGTCTAAAAACACTAAAGCTAAAACATGCTGGAAATATAATTATATTATATATAAATTTGTTATGTGCAGAGAACTAAATATAATATATAAAAGTACGAGATTGTGATGAATGCGATAACACTCAAATACCCAAACAGAGTTGTGTCAACAATGATGATGATAACTTAATATTTCTGCACCTATTCAACATCCAAGCATTGAAAGCAGATGCATTCTTGATCATTATAAAAAAGCTTAAATATTTAATAAATTTAAATTATTGACATATAAAAAGATAATAGATATTATTTTTATAAGTCGCGTATAAAAACATGTATAGATATTTTAGTTTGTCCTACAATACTGTTTGCTTATAAGTACATAAATAATACATAAAATTTAATGTGAGGATAAACATACATACAGACGACAAAATCTATAATATTAATAAAATTACATGCTTAACTAATCTTAATAAATACGAACTTGAAACAAGCGCTACTATTGGCCTATTTCACGAGGTTAAATAGAAAACATAAATTTAGAAAAATAAATGTTTGCGGTCAAAAAATTCCTGACAGAAACTTAAATTTAGTATTGCCTCTACTTGCTGGTCATAAATTATTAGAAACTCGGAAACAATTTGCCACTGATTAGGGTCAAAATAAATGTATAAACCTTCTTCTCTATTTCCCATTCTCCTATAGATTGCACGATCTAAAGCTCGACGAAACCAGACTTTCATATCCTTATGAAAACGCCATTGTCTGTTAAAAAGCTCTACAGCAACTTCTAGTTGAACTTTTTCTCGTACGCAGATATAAAATATGTAGAAAAGTGTATCGTCAGACAAAACTTCTAAATTAAGTGGTGTAATTTTATGTACGATTGCGTTATTCATTAAGTATTCTCTTGGCACAGCAACTGTCATATTGTGATTAGCTAAAGGTTCGTTTCCAAATGGGCCGCTAAATCTGGGATATAGAAGTTCGTTTGAATTTGTGGGAATGCCTAATGTATTAAGATCTATGCCCAGATTTAGATGTGATATACTTGGTGCGCCAATTCGTATCATTGATAAGATGCTCAAAATTCCATATTGGTCATTTAAAACCGAAGGCCGTACATTAGATATATCACCATTAGGATGCACTATTATTTCTTCTATATCACTTTCACTTGCTCCCGAAGTACTTGGAACCAATGCACTACTGGAAGTACTAGGAGCATATGCACTTCTGGAAGTACTTGGAACCAAAGCACTACTGAAAGTACTTGGAGCATACGCACTTCTGGAAGTACTTGGAACACAATCACTACTGAAAGTACCTAGAGCATATGCACTTCTGGAAGTACTTGGAACCAAAGCACTACTGAAAGTTCTTGGAGCATATGCATTTCTGGAAGTACTTGGAACCAAAGCACTACTGAAAGTACTAGGAGCATATGCACTTCTGGAAGTACTTGGAACCAAAGCACTACTGAAAGTACTTGGAGCATACGCACTTCTGGAAGTACTTGGAACCAAAGCACTACTGAAAGTACTTGGAGCATATGCACTTCTGGAAGTACTTGGAACACAATCACTACTGAAAGTATCTGGATTATATGCACTTCTGGAAGTACTTGGAACCAAAGCACTACTGAAAGTACTTGGAGCATATGCACTTCTGGAAGTACTTGGAACCAAAGCACTACTGAAACTACTTGGAGCATATGCACTTCTGGAAGTACTTGGAACACAATCACTACTGAAAGTACCTGGAGCATATGCAGTTCTGGAAGTACTTGGAACACAAGCAATACTAGAAGTACCTGGAGCATATGCACTTCTGGAAGTACTTGGAACAGATGCACTACTGGAGCTACTTGGAACACATGCGCTACTGGCTGCTTTTGATGTACTTGGTTTTGATGTTATACTACGACGATGGTAGGAATGTCTAGGATCTGGTAACGATGGAAAATGTTCAGTAGATATATTAAAATAAGAAGCTGCTGGACGTTCTTGTGCTAATAAAAAAAAAAATTCATTAATATTTTAAATTTAACAATCTTAACATATTTCTACTAACGTAACAACGAACGTTCGGCTGATGGCCTTTGATTGGATGGTTCTATAGCAATATTGCGATTGGTAGAACTAGTATATTGTTGCGTTATACCAGATGTATTTCTATCAATTATTCTTGCAATTATACTCCTAGATTGCGATGAACCTGGAACGTCTGCGTTGGTGGGCACATTGCTACGCGTTTCCTCTTCTTGAGATGTTGGATTGTTTGATCCTTTTCGTGTGTCTTCAGGAGCACTCATTTATAAAGAGATATAATTAAATTTGGATAAAATACTTAAATCTGAAAAAAAAAAAACAAAATTAACAAAATCGTTTAGTTTACATTCAACTTTATCACATTCTACGATAAATTTATTTTTAGCCATACATTAAAAGTGGTTTTCTTTAAGAGATTTATAACAACCTTTAATAGCAAAGTCATGATTATTATTTCTAAACAAAGTATCTTAAAGGAGTAATTAACGCACGACCCAAAAAAAGTTCAAATTAAAACAAGAAATTATTTTTAGTATCAAATAAATAATATTTACTAGCTTATATGGTTTCAAGAACGTCTACGTCTACAGATCTATAGGTGCTATTTATCACACCACAAAGGGCTATCACAATAATCACAACGAGCAAATATGTAGTTATAGTATTATAACTATGTATAATAGTATAATATTGCAATTATTATAATTAATATAATTAATGTAGTTATATTATATATTATAATTAATGTAGTTATACTATATATTATATTATTAAGTTACATTATTAATGTAGAGTTACTTATATTAGAATAATACACTTTTTTTAAAAAAAGTATGAACAATCATTTTTAAGTATTTGTCTTATCAAAGGTGGGACACAATTAAAGTAGGAGTGGTTCGTTTTTTCTGATATTTGCTTCAATCTTTTTTAGATCGTATTTAATAAAAAGGATTTTTAGTTCTTCGTGGAATGTCTTATACCCTACCTTATATACTGGAGAAGACTTGTTTTTAATAAAGAACTTTAAATTGTATACGGTGAAATACTCGAATACTGGCAAATATTACAACTAGACACTCATTATTGTTGTTGTGTTTATAGCCTGTGTAGTCCCTTTAGTTGGTAGTGAACGGCAATAATTGTCTTATTGTTTGGCACCATTTATCCAGATAGACTTAAGTAAAGTCTATATATGTTAGATGTACTTTATAATGCAAACATATTTTTGACTTTCTGAAATAAATCTAATGTATTTTTTATATTTTTAGGTTTGGGAAACATTGGTATTAACTAAAGTGACTGAAGATCATAGGTTCTTACACAAAGCAAATACAACGTGAGTACTCTTATTTGTATTTACACGAATAAGTCGAATTTCTAACCATGATTTATTAATAGTAATTTGTTTTAAGACCCTTAAATACTAAAATATGACTTTGATTTGTGCTAAGAATAGCTGTGACATCATTAATGGTGGAACAGACAAGCCAAGAATTGGTAGGCAAGTCTGATATAAAAAATGTGTTTAGCACTTAATTTAAAACATTATTCTAAGAGACCTTTCACCTACAATATCCACAACAATAGCAATAGTATTTGACTTCTATATAGAATTTTCTCTGCTTTACATACGATTCTAATATATACTGGAGCAGTTGTATGAATAGCTTAACTTCATAGTATATTTTATATTTTATTTTATATATATTTTAGTATAATTCTAATTCTTAATATTAGAAATTATAAAAGCGAATTTGCCGGAATACGTATAGATATATACTAGAAGTAACGATCGAAATAAAATGAAAAATTCTGAAAAAATAAAATCGACTTTAGAGCAAGAATGTTTAGAAATTTAATACTGTCGATATTTTCTGTTATTCTAATATCAATTATATTCTAGTTTATTTTGTAACTTAGATGACCAATAACTTTTTTTAACATGTAATTGCAAAATTTAAATTATAGCAACGAATTCTAAGAACAGATGATAATTTTGGATTAATTATACGTGTGCTACATAACAACAGTAAACGTTTTATCAAGAGAATTAAAAAAAGTCACAGAAGTTTTAATAACGTGACAAACACAATAGTGGTCCTAGGAGTTGCGTAGATCCGCGACGTCTCCAACTTTTAAATACTCCCCTTACCCTATTATACTACTAATACCTATCCACATTTTAACCCATGTATTTTTCTTGTAATTCCTTACTTGTTAACTGCTTTATATATCCTTGCAAGCTACAACAACAACAATCCACGATATCTCAGAGTTACTTGTCTATGACAACCAAGCATTACCAACCTCTTTCAATTTAATTTCTATGTGGTTTGCAATGATCCATTGAGATAACTAAATTCCATAAGTAATAACAAAGATATAACTCATCTTAAAATAAAAAATCGTGGGGGCAGTATTCAAGAAACTTAATTTGGGTTTCATACAAACCGATATAGACCTTTAAACAATATATAAAAAATAATAATATATAAAACGTAAAAATATGTAAAAAATAAAAATATATAAAAAATAAATATATATATTTAAAATAAAATCATATAAAAAATAAAATCATATAAAAATATATTTATAAAAAAATATATTTATAAAAAAATATATTTATAAAAAAATATATTTATAAAAAAATATATTTATAAAAAAATATATTTATAAAAATATATTTAAAAAAAAATATTTTATAAAAAAGATTATGAAAAAAAATATTTATAAGAATATTATTTATAAAAAAATATTTTATAAAAAATTATATTCAAATATATTTAAAAAAATATATTTATAAAAATATATTTTAAAAAATATATATATAAAAAAATATATTTATAAAAAAAATATATTTATAAAAAATATATTTATAAAAATATATTTATAAAATATATTTATAAAAAATATATTTATAAAAAAATATATTTATAAAAAATATATTTATAAAATATATTTATAAAAAATATATTTAAAAATATATTTATAAAAAATATATTAAAAAAAATAAAATAATTGAAAAAGAAATATATTAAAAATATATAAAAGTATAATATGTTAAAAAATATATTAAAAATATATAAAACAAAAATTATAAATAAAAAATCATGAAACAAAAAATTATAAAAAAAATTAAAAAAAAAAAAAAAAATTTGAATAATCACACAAACAAAATGTATTATTTATAATAATAGAAGTTAAAAACTTTTGATTTTCGTACCGCTTGATTCCATAAATTCGATAAGTGTAGAATAAATTGGCTTCAATGACTATAACTGATTGGATTTAAAGCTTAATAATTTCGTTCATTGCAATAAAATAGAAACTACAAAGAAAAAATATTATGTGGTTCCAGAAGCGACCAGGTTAATGTTCCAGAGCCACTCGTCAATCACAGACGATCATGTGCTGTTCACATATGGTATAACACAATATAGTGCCAATTAGCAACAATTAGACTATCCTAAGTACGAACTGTTAGCTCCAAAGCGCACAAGCATCCAGAAATGAAGCGGCAATGCAGTCTCACCGTGGTTGTATTCTACTTGTGTAGAATACATACAGATTCCTACATAAGCAGGAATCTACTTATGTAGTCCCTTTTGGGAGTGACGAACGGTATTTGTTCGTTGAACTTAACGTGTGGCTCCTCAATGTACTCCCGGCCGTTATTGGAACCGCTTTTAGACATCATTGTAGTGCCTACGATGCCAACGCGTTCAATTGAATGCATTTTTTGCAGTACACGCGTTCGCTAGCACCGGGCCCAATTCGTAACAAATGTATTATATAGACGTAAACATAAAGACTGTTTCTGTATTAATTATAATCTTACAGATTTCTTAGTAATTGACATGGTTTAGTGACTCCAATGAGCAATGAAGACATTCTTGACGAGACATTAAATACATTTTTAATTTTTAAATTAATTATATATGGATTTTTTTTAGATTTTATTATTGTGAACAATAATTCAACATATTTTAGGATAATAATTCATATGTAAGACAAACTTAATAGCAATAATTACATATATACAAATTTGGACATTACAGAACGTACACATGTACATACATACATATATCCACTTACTCAATTTTATAGGCAATAAATTGATGCGTAAACTGCGCCGTATGCAAAACTAGTTGGATGAATTGCAAATAATCAAAAGCAAATAAATAAACAATGCAAAACTTCAATTTTTATGGATTTACTCCAAAATTATGCTAAACAAAGCAAAAACAAAATGTACCAAAGGCTGCTGGAACATCAGCGTAGCAACATAGATTTTATGTCTGCAATACGGCGACTTTTTTCATGTGACAAATATATTTCTTAGCTCTAAAGATTCAGAATATTTGCTTATATTCTTCGTTTTAAAATCGTTAGATTGTTTTACAGGTAGATAAAATTTTCCTCACACGTAACGTCAAAATGATTTAATAACAGAATTTTAATTTACGACTTATAATTAAAAAAATCAAAACTAACGGATGTTCGACAATAGAGCGCAATAAATTTAAAGCAAAAGCAAATGATCAAAAATGCGGCGAATTCAAAATTGCGCAAATAATAAGTAAAAAAAAGGTTACCAGCATATGCAGTTTGCACATTTTTATTAGATTTTTATTAACTTATTAGAAATTGTTAATTGATATCTAACGAGGATATAAACTATAGTTTTTTTCACTTTTAGAAGAAAGATTAAAATCAAAGTTAAGGAATTTAACACAACTCACTTATTTAAGAGTAAATTGATTTTCAATTGATGGAAATAGTAAATTATGTCGGTATGGCAGCGAATGTTGGCATTTATCAGAATTTCAAAGTAGGTTAAATTAGATTACTATAAATGAGTGTTACTATTGTAAAAATATTATAAGATGTTTAATAAATAAATTTTAAACTTTTAACCAAAAATAATAAATAAGTGTAATAAATGAATAAACAAATATTTCCATAAGTACAGTGCAAAAAATCCCCAGGAAATTTTAATCCCGACCTAAATACATATATATATGATATCTAAATTGAAATTGAAACAAATCATTTTAAAATCCTTAACATATATTTTAAGGTATGAGTGTCAGCGTGCTGCAAACTTTAAAACGCTTAAATTTAAATTTATTTTAAAATTTGTTTTGAAATAGATCTTAAATTTAACGCCAAAACAATACATATATCCTTAACATACACCCCATTGCAAAAAAAAATCATTATTATAGCATTGTTTATTAGGAATTCAAGTAAAATATTAAAAAAGTTAGTCATAGTAACAAAAAAATTGTTCTATGCCAGTAAAAGCTTGAAAAACAGCATAGTAGATAAAAGGTCTGTTCCTCGAATTAGTCGTAGTAAAACTCAAGTAAAACACAAGTAAAGTAGAAACTGAGAGCGTAACACAAATAAAATGGTAAATTACGCTCTTTATACAGATTTTTGTGGAACAGCTTTGTGTAAAATTTGGTGAGAACACCAGTGCTGCACAAATGAACAATACAAAAATTTGAATTTAAACCAAAACAGCTGATTCACAGATCAACACGAATTTTATTTGAAATAAAATGTACAAGTAAAGTCTGTGTAGCATTTTTAAATTTCGACAGGGATATTACGCTCTCTCAGATGCTCTCATTTACTCGAAAATTTGCTGGTGGAACTCACTTGTGTATACATGGTGTTATTCAAAGTTACTACGAGTAGCTCGAGGAACAGACCTAAAATACTTTGAAAAGTTAAAAATTGTATAGAATTGCTGATAAATATCCTTGAATGTGAAACAAGTAAAAATTTGTACAACAATAAGAATCACAAAATATTCGTATGGTTAAAATTTTGTACTAAAATTAAATTGTTATATTAATTTAATTAAAATATTAATATTAAAAAATTAACATATAACTGAATTATAATCATTTTTTATGTAATTGGCATCTATATCTAGTTTATTTTATTTTCCAAAATTTTTTCACATATAATTGCTTTTAATTTATCAGCTGTTTTTATTTATTTTTCATAACTCTAGTAAGAACTAGTCGTTTCTCTATGTAATCCATCCCACTTATTGGTTTGTTTTTTTAAAGTATTTATTTATACAATATATGTCCATGAATTTAACTTAATAATTACAAAATCTTTAAAGATGATTTGCCTTTAATACAAGCCATCCTGTGTCTGTCTAACTGTAAAAAATATTGTTTGAATTCGCCGCGAAAATTTTGATTCAAACGCTTCAAAAGAAATAAGTTCAGTTCGGGCGCTGTTCACTTTGAATTGGGTTTATGTTAAGTGGCGTCTGTTTTTGCGGTGATTAGTTTTGTTTCAGAAGTTCGCTTTGATTGGTTTGTTTTGTTTGTAGTCTGTAGAGCGCGAGGTAAATATAAAACATTCTGATCGGATATTAATATCATATATTATATTTATGATAATTATTTCTGATTTTAATTTGCAGTTGGAAGATTCGATATGTTACCCAAGAAGAGTAATATCCAACAAAATAAAAATCAATCGAAAAAGAAAGTTCGATTTGACATGGACAAAAACCAGCTGCATAAATTATTTTTTGTTGAAAGTTATTCACCGACTGCAGCTTACGATGGCTCCAACACCGCCAAGAATTATAGTGAAGTTCTAGCTAGCGCTTCAGATGCTCAACCTAATTCGTCGGATAGTTTTCGCTTAAGAACAGTACCACAACGTTTCAATATGCGCTTAGAAGACTTCCCCGATTTATCACATTCGCTTAAGATGGCCGCTGAAAGAGAAATGTCGCTGAGCTCAGTCAAATTTGAATCTTCTGATATGGAATTTCCGCCAACATTAGATAAGTCGACTTTATCAGTCGATAACATGGAAACAGAAAGCTCATCAAATGAAATGCCTGAACAGAACGAGCCAGCAAAAAAACTGCTTGATGATCAATTTGGTATGCTTGCGTTAGCATCGATGATAAGGAATACTAATCCTGTTCAAACGTTGCTCTGCAAAGGCTTAGACCTTACACAGATGGGTCTTGATTTGAATTGTCCTGACAACTTGCTGACCACTTTCACTGGCGGCTTAGATGATATTTACGGTGTTGATGACTCTCTAATTTACCTCCCTAAGGAGTACAAATTTTCTGGATATGTGAGAAGCCATTTGCAACCTTTAAATTTTAAATATATGCCGTTAGAAACACTCTTCTACATATTCTATATGTATCCAAGGGATCAATATCAATTACAATCGGCTGAAGAACTATATGAAAGACAGTGGCGTTTTCATAAAGTCTTGAGGGTTTGGGTTCGCCGCTCGCTGGATATCCGTAAGTTCTATATTGACAAGACCATATTCACGGGTGAATATGAGTTTTATTCTCCTGAATTATTTAAAATATTCACCCAGATTACAGCTATTGACGAGAGTCAGTTTGCTAAGAGATTTTGTTGAAATTTTTATATTAACTTAATTTATTTTTTATATCAGATTTTGATAATATTTTTTTGTTGTTTTTATTTATTTTTTATATCAGATTTTGATAATTTTTTTTAGCTTTTATTTATTTTTATACTTTTTATTTACTTTTTTTTGGTGTTTTTATTTATTTTTATATTTTTTATTTACTTTTTTTTTTGGTTTTTTTATTTATCTTTTTTTTTATTTTTATTTTATTTTTTAATTATTTTTTTTTATTTTATTTATTGTTTTTTTTTTATTTATTTTTTTTTATTTTATTTATTTTTTTTTATTTTATTTATTTTTTTTTATTTTATTTATTTTTTTTATTTTATTTATTTTTTTTTATTTTATTTATTTTTTTTTATTTTATTTATTTTTTTTTATTTTATTTATTTTTTTTTATTTTATTTTTTTTTTTTATTTTATTTATTTTTTTTATTTTATTTATTTATATTTTTTTTATTTTATTTTATTTATTTTTTTTTTTATTTTATTTATTTATTTATTTTTTTTATTTTATATTTTTTTTTTTTTTATTTATTTTTTATTTTTTTATTTTATTTTTTTTATTTTTTATTTTTTTTTTTATTTTATTTATTTTTTTTTTATTTATTTATTTTTTGGTCTTTTTATTTATTTATTTTTGGTCTTTTTTTTTATTTATGTTTAGTCTTTTTATTATTATTGGTCTTTTTATTTATTTATTTTTTGTTGTTTTTATTTTATTTTATTTTATCTTATTTTATTTTCTTTTTGCTATTGTTATTCATTTATATTTTTGTTATTTTTATTCATTTCGTTTTTCTATTTTTATTTTTATTTCTTTTTTATTTGCTATTTTTATTTATTCTTTTATTTATTTTTTTCTATATTTTTATTTATTTATTATTTTTTAAATTTTTTTGTTTAATATTTAAATATTAACTAACTAATTAAAAGTAATTTTGATTTTGAAATTAAAAACTATTTTAAAGAATCGTACAAAGTCTTACATTGCGAATTTAAATGTAATAACTTTTATAAAAAGAATAGTTGTTGATTAAAAATGTATTAAGTATAAATACTTTACATTATATTATATTATAGATTTCATATTTTAACCATTGTTAAAAACTTGTGTTATTCATAATATATAATAATTAGATTAAGATTAACGTTTATCAAACGCTGGCGTTGGATCGCACTAAAATTCTTAAAATATAACTTAAAAAAAAAATTTTTTTTTAGAAAAGTAAGATTAATTATATTAAATTGTTTTTTACTATACGCTTAAATAGTATACAGAATAAATATAACTTATATTTCTATATTTTGTGTTATTTTTTCTTGTGGAAATATTGGTATTGATCCCTCCTAAATATATTAAATATCTTCCAATCTGGTTTAGATTTTTTTTGAGGAGAGCAAAGTATATTTGAAGGTATTTTTTTTTTAAAATTTAATTTAAAGATTTTTTTCTTCACGGATTGGGTGGTTATAGAGTTTACTTAATTGACAATTTGCTTTCTTAATAATATTTTATTGCTGAGTTAACAACTGCTGTTAAACTTAATAATAATACAGTAAATTATAAAATATTTATAAAATAAAATAATTAAATTTTATTATAAAATATAAATAAAATATTATAAAATTAGTTTAGTGTTTAATAACAAATAAGTTCAGCTATACAATGTATACTTAAGTAATCCTTAAGTGTTTTATTTTAGGCACCTTAAATATCACTTAAAACTTAAATAAATGAGTGTCGCTTCAATGTGAAATCAACGCTTAAAAATACTTTGTAAAATTGACCCTTAGACTGTCTTAAAATATTTTTATCTAGAAAACGCACTAAATTAATTTATATGCTTATAACTAAAGAAGGGGAAAACATGTCCTCTTTGTCTTTGATTTTAAAATTGGTCGATTATTTAGATGACGAACTAGTGAACTATAAAAAATCTGATTATGGACCTATATAAACTTTATGTATGCATCGATCAAAATTGTTGAAGGAAATTTAAATCTTTAGTCTGTATTTAAAAATTGAAAATAATATCTAAGCCTATATTTATTTTTCTTGGATTATTATAAAAAGCAATACAAGTGAGAAACAGCAAAACTAATTCAAAGTTTTCAGAAATATATTATCAGGTTTTATAGTCCGTATGGTCTGTATGGTCTGTATTTAGAAATTCTATAAGATAAGCAAATACACATAAATACGGTTTTACGGCTACAGCATATGGCATTAGAACGCCGACCACACTGTGAAATTACATACGAATAAATAACGCTACCATATATATATATATACATATACACCTCTACTATTTAAACGCTAATAAGGTATAATAATGTATATACTTACTATATATATATATTATATATATATTATTACGTATATATTATATAAATTACATACTTATTATTATGAATATATTATATATGTATATTACATATATATATAAAGTAAATATATACATCATTATAGCTTATTGGCGTTTAAATAGTGGTGGCTGTTTGAGTTTGATATCAACTTTAATATTCAAAGAGACTACTGGTGTCAAATTGTTGATGGATGTATAAAAAGTCTATAGAAATAAATGCTCAGATGGGAAAATAAATAAGTCTCTTAACTGGTATTCTAAGTTCTAACTAATAGCATTGCAGCCAGATAAAATAATTCTCTTAACTTGTATTTTGATGTATAGAACTAATAGAATTGCAGTCAGTGCCACATGAAGTTATCGTAGGGATATATAGTGGACAATAGAGTAAATAGACTTGATATTCGAAATCTTTTAGTTTTAAAATAGACAAAAGAATGCTGTACAATGCTGATGTTAGTGTTGACTTAGTTTTTAATAAACGCTGTCGGTTTGTCGGTTTTGTGCCGAATTTTTACTCTATTTATTCATCAAGCCTACAATTATGCTGAGTACGCAATTTCTTATCCGCAGATTTTTATGCTGTGAAGATATTTATTTATTTTAAACAGATCGTAAATATATTTTATGAATGTAGTTGAATGAGTTAAAGTTATTTTGTTTTTATTCTGAAAAGATGTGAGGCAAATTTATGGCAACCAAATTTGTCATTATACTAAGTGTCTATTAAATGATCACTTTAACCAGTGAACTACATTTATTGAACCGGTAAATAGGGTAATATCATGTTTTTACTACAGCTAAAATTACTTATGTTAACGCAATTAAGATTAGGTCGTTTCCATTGGCATAAGCGTATTTATTCATATGAAATAGCTTGTTTGTTAACATTTCACATATAAAACATAAGACAAATATTTCAAATTTTGGTAATTTCCCTTGTGAGAAATCTATTTTTAAGTGTGACATACAACATTTTTCGTTTGATGATAAATTAGTTGATTTATTTATAATGAGCTCATTTAAATGAAAGGTCTTTGTGTATAGCAATTTATGCTCATTAGCGACATTAATAAGCAAAACTAACTAAATGAGACCAGTGGAAACATGGTATAAGCTAAAAAGCTATATGAGATAACTTTTGAAGAATTACTAAAGTTGCAACAAATTAGGTATGTGTTAAATAATTACATCTGTTTAAATAACCATACTAGGCCACAACTTGAAAACGTTTGTTATTAATAGTTTTTTTGCGGAGTGACAATGACAATATATGGAAGATTTTTACATATCTTTTTTATCTCTACAAGAACGAAAATTTAAAGATAAAGAGTAAAAATTAACCATTATATACATATATATGTATCTTCGTTCTTGTAGAGATATAACCATAAGAGGGTGTAATGAAGAATTCGAGTTCTGTCTCGTTATGAAGTTTTGACAGCGTCTTATTATACTTACATATATCTCGGGCAGACTATAATGGTGAAATGCTATAATTTACGATTGCATTGTAAAAGTCTACAACAAAATAACGTAATTGCAAAAGTCGAGCTGATAGAGTGTAATTAAACCTGTTATTGCAATGCTGTCCTTAAGTTAATGTTACCTATTGATTCTATAAAATCGAAAAGATTTTAGAAAGATAACAAGGTTACTAATTTTTTTTAATTATTTGATTGTAAATCAAAAGTTACATAATATAAGGTATATATCAAATAAAAGATTTTTCTAATTTTTATATGAAGACATATTTTTGTTTCAACAAAATGTTTAAAATTCATCAAAATTGAAGAAAATAATTCTTTTACTTATATTTTTCTAGTAGGTGTAGATGGAAAGCTTCAAAAACCATAGTGGGAGACTCGAATCCACTAAAACTACTTCTTATGAATGCAAAATTAACAAATTTCAGTTATTGGACGGTAAAGGTCAAAAGCTGAAACCCTATACTAGCAATCAAAGGAAAGGAAGACATTAGAAAGTAGAAGATTTAGCTTTTAAACAATAACAGGGCAATTCTGGCAAATATCGTTAAAAGTCTTGCTTTTAAATTAATGAACTCATTATAAATAAATCAACTGATTTAAGTCGAAAAATGTTGAATATCACAATTATAAATAAATTTCTACAAGGGAAATTATATAAATTTGAAATATTTGTCATATGTTTTATATGTGAAATGAGCTGTAAACAAATGCAATGAGGAAGTAAGTATTTAATAAAATTTTTTTTGTTATTAATTGAATATGAAATTGATATGTAAAATATATATATAAATAATTTAATATATCAATAATACATATAAAATTTTTGTGTATAAAAGTTCTATCAACTGCATAAATGAGCTCATTATAAAGTGAACGTTAGAGTTAGAAAGTGAACTCATTAATATAAATGAACAAGCGCCTAAATGAGACAGTGTGAATGTATTATAAGTGAAATGAGTAAATAATGATTAATTGGTCTGAAATGTTAATTTTATCTTTTTGTTTTATACTTATTTACACAACATTTTATGAATGATTTGTTAATCTATAGTGTAAGTAAATTACACATTTATAAATAGATGGATGTATTCATCTTATTTATAGTTTCTTCTATTTAAATGTTTTCATT